TATTTATTTATGTATTTTAAATGGCAGGCGTTTTGATAGTTATCATCATCCCTTTAGCTGACTTCGGGCTTCACAGGGGGAAGGAATATCAAAGTAACAGAAAGTCGAGGGGTGGGGAACAGATGAGTGATTTACAGATGTAACGAGACAGACATGAAGGTAGAGAAAAGGTAGGATGAGTACTGCGCCAGAAGTCAATCGCCAGTTAATAGACTTTTTAGCCGTATGAGTATACTTTGCCCAGGGTGCACCACGTGGAGGTAAGTCTATCACGCACCCCGTAAGCTTTAATTATCAGTGGATACAATTTTAAATTTATCGAACTCTTTCAACCGTAGAAAGGGCGAATATTTTGAAGGAATCATATAATTTCAATTTTCTGACGTGTTCTGCTAGATCACAAATTTGAATTAAATCATTTACCATTCGACGAATTCCTCTTCTTTATTTATCTCCGTTCTCGCCTCCCCCTCCCCTCCCCCCATATCTCTCATAAGCCCGTAGCGGATAGTTACACTAGTAAAGCTTTGACTGACTCAGAAATCTTTGTGGCAGTTTCTCCTACATCTACCTAGACTCCCAGAACTAGCTATAGAGGAAACAGACGAACAGCTCGAAACACGTTTATTCAGTAAGGATATTGTGGGTAAAATGTTCACACAGGGAGCTTAGTCATGATCAGCATTGTGGAATAGGTTAAACAAACGATGGTTCCTGATTGGCCACTGGTTGCACGGCCGCACCTCCCAATCCTAACGTGCATGCATGCGATGACGTAACCCACAAGCCTTCTTTACACATATATATTTTGCTATCCTCAATAACGAAGCAATCTCTTGTTATATTTATGAATAAACCGCCTTTGGACAAAATTGCTTTTAATATGGAGTATCCTCATATGAAAGAAAGTGAATTCCAATGACGGGCGTTATGATAGGTATCATTGGCAGACAGACACATAAGTAGAAAAAAGGTGAGGTGAGTTCTGTGGAATTAGTTGAATATAACATACAGTCGCGTGATGGTAGTTTGAAGTGAGAAGTCAACTACCGACTAATAGACTTTTTGCCGTATGAGTATACGTTGTCCAGGGTGCACCACGTGGAGGTAAGTCTATCGCACTCCCCTCATATGAAAGAAAATCCATCAGATTAAATATTGAAACCAGTGAAGCATAACTTCTGACGTTACTACAATTTTGGAGAAAAAATTAGACGCCAAGCACTTTAGGAGTATGCTGATATACCCCCTCCACAATGTTGGCTTGCTTGGAGGTCGGACCTGTAGCTACTTTAATCCGTCTGCACCAAAGATAATGATGAACTAGGGTTTGTGTCAGGCAGTTGAAAGCAGTAAGGCAGAAGTAAAAATGCTTTAAGGGCACTAAATTAGATTATAATATGAAGTTCACAATCTAAATAGATTTTGCTTATCGAGCGTCGAAAAAATAAGTGCTCAGTTACCGCTTCTACAAGTTGTGACTCTTCTGTGGTATGACGCTGTGGGGAAAACCGAGTTATTTTAGCATTATATATCCCCACCTACTAGATAATGCTTCACTACAGTTCACTCAATTTACGCGAGAACGCGGTTAACTCGAGCCATTTTATTAACCAATCAGAGACGTTATATGGGAAAACAATTAGTATTCATTTAGTTGGTGTCGAGATCTGACCAACTGCAGTTTTATACTCAACTCGATGTGGGAACGGGTGAGATTGAAGAAAAACGTTGAAGTAACATGCCAGTGCTGATTATTTCCAAATAAAGTACATCCACTACAACTGTGTGCTTTAGTTCACCAGTCTTAAAGATGTTGCAAAGCTGGAATTAGGCTTCAAGAAGCATAAAAAGTACCACTTGCAAGTGGAAACGACCATCTTGCCTCCGAGTACACAAGTGGGATTAGGCTGAGCATATTCCCCATTATAGTCAATGAATTTCCCCCACCCTCCCTCCTCGATTTAGTTTCAGCAATGGTCCAACGTTCGGGGAGATGCGAGTGTATCGGAAAAACAACCATTTTTTCAAATGTCTGGCATTTTGATAGTTATCATCAGCCCTATAGCTGACTTCGGGCTTCACAGAGAGATGAGGAACATTAAAGTGAGAAAAATTCGACAAGGGAAAAGAAGAGCGATTCACAGATGTAAAAGAGAGACACCAAGGCAGAGAAAAGGCTAGATGAGTACTGTGGAAGGCGTCGAATATGACATACAGTGGGGTCGTGGTAGTTTGAAGTCAGAAGTTAACTGCCGGTCAATAGACTTTTTTGGCGTATGAGTATACGTTGCCCAGTGTGCACCACGTGGAGGTGAGTCTATCGCACATCCCGAAAAACAATCATTAATTTTGTTTCATTTAATTTATTTGGATTCGAGATTTTAAATGTTCGGTTAATGGACAATTAATTGCTTTCTTACTCCATCACTCTAATTTCGAAACCGCCATCGCAACCTCCACTCCCCACCCACCCCCCAACTCTTTTAATGATGATTGGAATACTCTTTACTATAATTCATTTCCCGTTATAGTAATATATACCGTCTTCTATTAAAACATATTTAACAAAGTGAACATGTTTGCCTATCTTCTCCACTCAGCTTCACTAGATTTAGTAAAATTCGAACTGAATTTTATTAAAACATGATCTTCACTGAACTGCATTCAATCTACAATACAAATCAAAAATGTTTAGACTTGTAGTAGGTTCCGATTTTATTTATGCTTTTGTCAGTTTCATGTCAATTTTTTTCAGCTCGAAATGTAAACCTTTTATTATCTTTTTCTGCTCCTGTCAGTGCATAATAAGAAGAAGAATCTAATAATACAATTTGAATTGCATGAGGCGTTATTTTTTTCTTTGAATTGTGCAAGCATTGGTGGTGCAACCTCTGTCCTCGAAGTGACGACGAGTAACCAGTGGCTACGAACTTGACCGACATCACTAGTGGGTGTGGGTGTGTGTGCGTCGGAAACTTCAAAAACTAAGTCAAGGACAAGTCTAAGTAGTTCCCTCTTTTTCACTCTGGCAAAATCCATTTGCCCCAAAAGTTGACCCAGAAAGTAGCCAAGCAGTGTCAATAGTATCGTGGAGACAGAACGTGGCTAACTGTCACATGACCTAGGCATTTTGTTTTTTCTACGCCAAATTATAACACCCCCCCCTCCCCCCTCCCCATATATATTAATCGAGTTTTGCTATTGGCCAAATCAAGATTTATCCGATAATTTTATAACATCGCTTATTTTCTTTAACTCAGAGAGATATCACAAAAGCCTTTGAAAGCACGAGGAGAAAAGGGAGTGAACAGCCCTTGGTGAAGCGGTATTTTGAATTGTCAACAAAGTGTCTAGACGAGATCAAGGAAACACGAAATGTGATTGAAGAATTTGGCAAATTAGACACTGATTTTGAGCGTGTTTGCTACTTCCTAAAGCAGCTTCGAATGCATTCAGAAGGTAAAGCACTAGCAAGCCTCTTTTACTTTAACCATTCTAGTAGACGCACCATTCTATTTCGTTCAGATTTTTTGCTATTTTGTTGTTGTCGTTGTTTAGCGAGAGAAGCTGTCAAACCTAATGAAGTTCAGAAAGTGAAAGAGGAACTTGCAAGATGCAACGGAAAATCGGATAAACTCTCCAAATTATTTCTGACGAGAAGCAAGCATGCCAAAGCTCTTATGGGGGTTCAATTCGGATTACACTACACCACACTCGCTGTTTTCTACGCTAAATCATTGAAATCCAAGAGCGTAGCATTTGCCAACAGAGCAATCTTTCTGTATGAAATTGGTTTAATTGATGAAGCCATTGCTGATGCAAGAAAGGCAATTGAGGTAGGTAACTTAGCTCCTTTATTAGCCCCGCCCCTCCCCCTCCCAATTAAGGAGGAAATTATAATTTTTTTAAATATTTGAAAAGAACTCGAGATAGGATTCCTAAATTTCTCTTGAATTGAGGTAGCTAATTCGATCGGGATTTTCATACCACTCGTTTTGCAAAACGCTTCACCAATGCCCGATCGAATATCATTAGGTATCGATTGCACTGCTTTAAAACTGTTTTTTTTAAATTTTTGAAGTAGACATTTTGCAAAGTAATAATTGGAGTCAGCAAATATGAGTATAAGTCCAATCGATCACGACTTATATGCCAAGGTAGATGTCAGCGCAAGAACCCCATGGACTTTCGCGTTCAGTGACAAACAATGGTCAGATCTCACTCTCTGTCAGATTTTCATCACTCTGCTCTATGGTTGAGTTAGTCACGCACACTTTAAATCACGTGTTTTAAAGTAGTGGAGTGACCACTCCTACCAGTGGTAAAAGCTGGCGAAATTGATTTGGTAGTCGTCCGAATCAACCTTATTGCCCAAAGGAGGACTGAGTATCACATTTTGGTTACATTACATTATAAGGCGTCGCTCTTTCTTGGTACCAGCATTCCTTAAATCAATGTCTTTCAGCAAAGCGAAAAGTACACTTATCGCCTCAAAAGATAGGCATTTTCGCAGGTATTCAAAATTCTTCCTTATCAGACTCATCGATTGAGTAGAGATGTGAGAAGTCTTGGTTAATACTAAAATTGTCATGAAGCCAGTTAATTAGGGCAGTCAACGATGCTAAGTGAAATTAGGCTCAGAGAACTAATCACCTTCCTAAAAGCTCCCAGGAAACAGATGTTTTTCATGGATCAGGAGTCCCAACGTTACATATGACAATGTGCATTGGGGGGGGGGGGGTAACTGTAATGGAATGAGATTGCAGAAGAAGGCATAGGAAGATAGATTAAAAATCGAAAGTGAGATGAGAAAGCGTTTTCCAAACATTTCAGATGCTTTCCAACCCACCGCACCCAAATATTCGTTTTTTTTTATATCCCTAGCACCATAAATCTAGCATAAATAATCCTAAGACGCAATATTTTTTTATCAATTAAAGGGCCCGCTTTCAAGGATCAATGCCGCAAAAATTTGCGTCTGCCTCGGGAACTGCTACAAGCATCGAGGGAGAATGCCTGAAGCAACAACTGCATTTTCAAAAGCCTTACAAGTACTTGAAAATACAGATCCTGACTTTACCGATTATATTAAAATTCAAGCTATAGATCAACTAAGAGAAATCGATCAATTAGACTGGAATGATCTCACGTACTCATGCAGTAAATGCAGGTTTTCCAAGCCTAAATTATCGGAACTCAAAAAGGCTCTGTGGAACGAAAATTTTGAGCGTGATACCAAGGAGGACAACACATCTTGTAAGTTGCTTGCAAGCAATGGAACTTTGGCTCTTAAAAATACGAAATCCAATAGAGGTTGGACGTTAGAAGTCACCAAGCACGTTAAACCAGGTTAGAACTTAATATTATATTGTCTTTCCTTTTGAGTACGATGTTTCTAACCCATCTCTGCTTTTACAAAGGTGAAGTTCTTGCTATTGAAAAGTGTTATGCTACATCTTTTTCTTCGAGATGGACAAGCCAGTGTTATTCATGCCATCAATTATGCCACAATCTCATCCCTTGCAAGCATTGTCCAATGGTAATGACAAGAATTTTCTTTAAATTATATACTCCTACTTAACTTAATAAAGTAGCTATTTTTATTATTGCAGGTTGGATTCTGCTGTAAAAAATGTGCACATGATGCCGTCAAACGCGATTTTCGCAGAAAAAGGTGCATAAATAAGCACGTATATGATTGTAAAGGCATATTGCCTTGCATCTTGTTGGATGAATATGCCTCGTGGTCGGGATTTAACTCAATAATTGGCTGTGATGGTACAACACAATTAGCATGTGCTTGTATTTCAAACACGGATCCTTCGCGTCTCCTTGACTATATTTGTTCAGTTGGTGATTATCAAGTAAGTTGCTATTATTACAATGCCTTATTGTCAGATAATCAATGCGAATTGGTGGTCATGGAAAGGCGTCAGTACATAGGGAGAGTTGGGTTAGAATATGGTAATAATTAAGGTTAAATTGAAGATAAATGGCGATCTGCTGATTCTGTTGACCAGGCAATGCATCTCTCTTTTGAGCCTCTAATTCACACTACTATAGCGTTCATTCTTCCCTTTTCACCAAAACTACTACTACTGTTATTTTTCATAATTGGTAGCTACGAGTAAAAGACTTACCCTGTCAAAGACACAATAATGCGTAGTTGGTAATCGTGGTTAAGTTATTGACTGTCTTTCATTCATTAAAACTCCTACTTTTCAGAAAGGAATTGGATCATTGGGTCAAATGATTTTGTCTACTTTTGAAACATTTGTGTAGGGCGGACGAGGACATCAGGCTTTCGCAGGAGAAAAATATGTCCGCGAGGTGCCACCACAGAAAATCGATGCGTCAGATTATTCCTCGGTGGGCTTTCTAACTACATGCTCTGAAAAGAAACCAACTGAACATCTCCTCCAATCCACCATAGCCTCTATATTCCTCACTTATTGCCTCTATGTAAGTTTGATTTGCTTACGTCACAATTTACTTTCAATTTCCCATTTAGATCGGCGGATATCCAATGGAATGGTGCAATATCGATCTATACACACCGCCCTCTTCAGAAAATCGACCTAAATGTATTCCAGCTAGTTGGGTGGCTGCGTGCATATTGTATCATGTGCTATCGGCAGATATAAACGCGTTTAATATGGATCTAGCAGTCGGTCAGAGTCAAAGCGTCTTCTCGAATAATATCGTAAACATCGGCTCGATGTTATTTTCAACAATATCTCTAATCAATCACTCCTGTAATCCCTCGGCATTTTTAACCATGTCAAAACAAGGGTTCGGCTGTTTATTTGCATCAAAAGCTCTCTCTCCAGGTTCGGAAATCTTCCTACAATACGCCGGGAACAATTATGACAACTCAAAGGAGAGACGTCAAACTTTCCTTCGATCATTTCACTTTGAATGTGATTGTGAGGCTTGTATTAATGACTGGACCTACGACAAAGACGATTACGAGAGAATAATATGCCCTGAATGCGAAACATCCTTTCCTTCGAATCTTGATGTATGCTCTTTCTGTTCTTCAGGAAGTGGCAAGGAAAGATATCAAAAACTGTTGAATGAAGACTTCGAGGAACTAACTAGGTGCCTTTTGGAAAGAGACATAAATTCGGAGACCTACATAACAGCTACAAATGTTCTAACTCAAGCCCAGTCTCTGATTGAACAGCCTTCAAATACTATTAAAGTTGCCACAAAAATGCTTATTTGGTTAATGATGAACAAATATGGAAACTGGGTTTCACAACCCTGGCGTTAATAAAACTCAGGACGTTAATCTTGAGCAAAAGAGTGTTGATTTATTGTAGGGAATTCGCTAACTTCATGTAATAAAAATGAATTTTACTACAAATTTCCATTTTCAATTATCTGTCATGCCTTCGGTTTTCTATAAAAGCGTAGAAGTAAAAGGAGGTTTACTTTTGCTTTATTGACGGATTCGTTCATACGTAATTTATAATGCGGCTTTCAGGAGATTGGACAAAGAGATTCTGTGACCCCAATGGGACTATGCCATTACCTACTTCTTCTTCTAACTCTGCATCAATTCTGTTTTTTTCTGTCAATCCCCATTTTCTGTTTTCGGTTAATTTTAACATATTCACTTCTTCAAAGACCATGATTTGATATTTCGATTAATAGACATGGTTGCCGATTTATGCGTCAGTGATCAGTGCTAAATTAAAGATATTGAGGTTGATAGATGATGATGATGATGATGGTGATACCCCATTGCAAACTTAGTCTTTAATAGCTAAGGCTAGCTAGTTAGTTGACAATAGTAAGACTAGGTAGAGTTTTCTCAGTGTGTGCTCAGTGGATACAAGGTCAGTAAAACAACAGCATCTTCTGGATATCGTAGATAGCACATTAGCCTCGACATGTCGGGATCACTCAGTCTGACCTCATCGGTTAACAAAATAACTTCCAGTTTTCAAATGGTAGCTGAAATACTTCCCCCCACCCCCCAATCTCTCTTGGATGCAATTATGGTTTATGCACATCCGCGCATTGAACCTTCCATACACCGTAGGTTTCAGTTCCACTCCGGTTGGCAATATTTGTGTCGTTGTGGTCCTGCATCTGTCCACCAACTCCTTCCACTTCTTCATATCCTGTCCGCAATTTTCGCTATACACCTTTTTGTATTGAAGCATAGTATTCGGATTCTTCGTTCACTGCGCACAGTGGCGATGCATATGGGAACGAGAGTCTTCTTTGTCATCATTGTGCTCGCTCGGTTTGATGATTCTTCCAACTGGCACCCCTTTTATACCTTCCTCCACGTGTAACACCAGATAGTACTCCTATTCTCCATTTACATATTTTGAAATTAATTGTTTATCCCTAACAACTTTGTCACCTGATTCATAGTGCATCCATTCCATGTTTTCGAATCATCAGGTGTAATGTTGTTTACTGGTGTCTTGGAGATTTATAAGGACGGTATTCATTGAAAAATAATAAAAGCATGCCAAATGGAAATTCACTATCGGCACAGATATTATTTATTAGAGTGTTGGCTTTGCAAATCAGATGTTTGAGCTTACTGTCATGCAGAACAAGTTCGCTAATTTACAATAGGCTAATATTCAATAAAGCTATTTCTAATGACATTTTCTGGCACTTAGGTGTCGCTATTGTTTAAAAATCTGCTCTTCATTTCGGTTTGCACATCCTTTTGTCAAAAAATCGCCTCTCCCCTTTCCATATATGTTGCTGCGGCTATGAATTATGTGATATATCATTGAATATTCTGAAAACTCCAACAGACAAGAAGTAATTACCCAACTACTTGACTAACCTCATTCGTTGACAGCTACTTAAATATTACTTTATTTATATAAATGGCAGGCGTTCTGATAGTTATCATTAGCTCTTTAGTTGACTTCAGGCTTCACAGAGGGGAAGGAACATCAAAGTGAAAAAGTCGACAGGGGGGGGGGGGAACAGAAGAGTGGTTCAAAGACGAAGGTAGAAAACAGGTGAGGTGAGTACTGTGGAAGTAGTCGAATATGGCATACAGTGGGGTGATGGTAGTTTGAAGTCAGAAGTCAACTGCCCATCGATAGACTTTTTTGCCGTAAGAATATCCGTTGCCCAGGGTGCACCATGTGGAGGTAAGTCTATCGCACACCCAGGCTAACCTCATTCGTTGACATCTACTTAAATATTACTAGTAGCACAAAAAGTAGTATTGTTGCTACCACCCGTACCCATTTGCAAGCTTTCTAGTGGCCGATGTGAAATCGCTATATATATTGTACTCTCATACTTGGCATCACTTTCACGGAGGCGGTGGCGTTTATTAGAAAGAAATACATATTTTGGTATTTTGATTTAGGCAATGTTTCCCTCCTAATTTAAATGGCATAAATTGCTGATTCAATTGATACTGATATCCAGAAATTAAGACTCCAACTTTGTTTTCTTTTATATTTACAGAATGGGATGTGCGATAGACTTACCTCCACGTGGTGCACACTGGGCAACGTATACTCATACGGTAAAAAAGTCTATTAACCCGCAGTTGACTTCTCACTTCAAACTACCATCAATCCACTGTATGTCATATTCCACCACTACCACAGTACTCACATCACCTTTTTCTCTGCCTTTGTGTCTGTCTCTTTTAAATCCGTGAAACACTCTTCTGTTCCCCTCCCCCCCACCTCCATTCGACTTTTTCTCGCTTTGATGTTCTTTCCCGTCTGTGAAGCCTGAAGTCAACTAAAGGGACAATGATAACTATCAAAACGCCTGCCATATGATATAAATATATAAATAAATACGTACAGAATTGAAACTTCACTTTCTTAATAATTATTATTATTGCTCGCCGAGTACTCCAGTAGTATTTTGACTTCAGTGTTTCTCTCTCAACTACGAATTATGTCCGCAATGCTTAAGAATTACCTATTTGTCAGGCCATGTCACTCCGAATTATTTACATCTTGCTAAACAGCGTTACCCACAAGCTTATAAACATTGAAAATTGCTAATACCGATTCTCAAGGTCATTGTGCGTTAAGTGCGTTTACGACTTTTGAAAATAAACCTCTTTCTTGTGAATGGTCATTTAGGTTATAATTATGAATCTATCATATTTCCAAATGTTCGAAAAACGCAATTACTCTCAACACAATACGCCATTTAATTTATTACAACGTCTGGATTATCTGAACTACCGGAAAATAGAATTTACAAGCACGAAGAAGGAAAGTAATCCCACAACAAAAAGAAGAAATGACAACTGTGCACAGTAACATAGCAAATAATACAAGGGGACAAAGGAAACAGATAAAAAACCAAGGAAACAAAGAGCGAATTTAAAACAATTAAAATAACGATATATTATCGTTTAGACCAAGGGCCTACCACCACCAAGCAGCAAATAGGCCAGAAGTGGTACCATCAGATGTTGTACCCTCAGAAATGGTACCTTCCGGTGTGGTCATTTCAGGAGTAGTTGCCTCAGCAGTGGTACCTTCAGGTG